GGGGGGAGGAGAAGGAGCAGGAGCCAGGGGGGAGGAGAAGGAGCAGGAGCAGGGGGAGAAGAAGAGGAGGAGGTGAAAACTGAAGAAAGGGTAGACAGAGGAAGTTTCCCGGTCATTCCTTTATAGAAGCGAAGATTGTGAAAGTAAGGGAAGGGGGAGGGACCARAATGGATCTTTTTCAACACCAAAATGCAGTCGGAAACTTTGTATGCTGTTAGGGTGGCTCAAYGCTGCAGCATGGAAAATTCTTGACATCGTTTCGCTGGCGAAAAAGAAAGGAATGGGTTTTGCCCCTTCCTTTTTTTTCTTCAGAAGTCAAGGATATCTTCAGAGGCCAGCAAGAAAGTGGAATTTACTTCGAAGTTCAAGCCAACCACCCATCTGGGTAAAAAGAAAAGAGGAAAAAGCAACGTGTCCAAAATTTCAAAATGTCTATATACTTGGTTTGTCCTTCGGGAGATCCGTTAAAATTGGAACGGTACAGAGAAGATTAGCATGGCTCCTGCCCAAGGATGACACACAGAACTCGAGAAATGGTCCTCCAAATTATTAAACATGGACTTTGGTTTTGTAGTACTTGTTGTAAGTTTCTTTCCTAAAGTTTCTTTCCTACCCTTGCTTATATGAAAGCCTGCAACTTCACATTCACAAACTTCACATTCACAAACTTCACATTCACAAACTTCACATTCACAAACTTCACATTCACAAACTTCACATTCACAAACTTCACATTTGCAATTTCGCATCCTCAATTTCCCAGACAATGCATTGCTTACTGTTGCGTGCTTGGTCCTTTCGACGGGGCACTCAGAAGCGGCCGAAGTGGATAGGACAAAAACGGACGGTCAGGAAATGGTGAGGAGCGGACGAGGGATCATACCAGGAGGAGGTGCAATGGTAGAGAGAGAAGGAGAAAATACAAGGTCAGTACTGGTTGTTGTTAAGCCCCGGTACACAAGCAAGGTATGCCGTTCAACGCACCCGGCTTTTCGTGGATGTACCGGCCCGCCTGCACCATGTCAAAAGCAGTCATGATAAAACCTGTTCAGGGCCCCGCAGAAGGGTCTCGCGCGCTGGCAGTTTATGTAAGCATCAACAAAAAATAGTTGAAGGGGACATGATGGAAACGGATATCCCGTTGAAAGTGATTGAGATTGGGCCTCGCTGCACTGCTCACCAAGTGCACAAAAGACAGAATTTATGCCTGTGTATCTCTCCGTGTTCTTGCGGAAGATTCACTCCGATTTTGTGCATTTGGTGAGTGGTGCGGTGAGGCCCATAGGATAAGAACTTAGCGCAGATCACATGGACAAAAGGAAGTTTAGAAGGGAGAAAAAGGGAGGGAAAGACAGGCTGAAAAGGGGCAGAAGCGGTCAAGGGGGGCAGGGGAGGGGGGGGGAGTACGGGAAGGAAGGGCAAAGAAGAAGTGGGAAAAAAACCCCTCTCTTTTGCTGCTGGGCATCAGTCGTACGAAACCGCTACTAATAGCATTGCATCCCACACTGCACAGCCGGATATCTGGGCCGCTCTTTTTGTCCGGAGGCATCTGGCTGTACCAAATTTCCCAGTGGAATAACTCAGTTGTATAAGACCTGGGCGTCAGTTTGATTAGAATGTGGACCTTATCAGGGCCAGGAGTACCCTGGGCCTAGATATGGAGCGCCACACCCTCTTTCTTTTTGCAAGAAGATCCTCCTTTCGAGTAACCGAGTTGTGGTTGAGCTGCTCTGGAATTCCCGTGAGTGCGGGTGGGTGCGGCTAGAGTGTTAACTCTTTGTGAATGGATAATTGGCATTGTGGTGATGAGTTGCGATTTTTTGGGGTTGAAGATTTATCTGTTTTGGGTGTGGGGATGAAGTGTAAGTCGAGTCAAATCTTTTCTGTTTTGGGGTTCGTATTCCCTCTTTTGGAAGGGAACATGGAAGGGGGGGGAAGAGATAGCCTGCTTATTTTCGCTGTTTGCCGACAAGTGTGTTTTTTTCTGCTACGGTGTCCGTTTGCTCTTTGCTCGATGATAGGAGATGAGGAGGTGGCAGTGATAGCCTCCGATGGACCGCACATCAGATCTTAGAGTGATCAGAACAGATACTACACTTTATGTTAGCCAAAAGGCCGAGAAAGGTATGATTAATTTTCCAGGATGTAGAAACTCCGACGAAACAGTTTGTCACAGCCCCTCGCAAGCGCTAGCGCCGCTTCGGTAAGCGCTATCTCGAAGCGCTTTCGCGGGCACCCGGTGAATCCTCCACGCGCCATTGCACGCTCAGGTGCGGCGGTGAACTTTTCACACGGGAAAATTCGTGACGCGCGCAGCCCATCATCACGGATCGAGCTCATTAGTAACAAGGAAAGACTCTAAAGGAGAGCGAGCCAACTCAACACCCCGCCACGCCCACGGGCGTGGCAACTCCCATCCAAGTGAGCAAGCGGACAAAAAGCGCGCAAGAAGGAGGGCGAGGGTATTGGAACGTGGAGACGGCCGGCGCAACTGTAGAGGAGAGCAAAAGAGGAGTGGGGAAACCTAAGAATAGGAAAAGACAACAGAGACAAAAGGGGAGGAGAAGAGCTCGCGTTCAGGGACAGAAGATAGGGAGGAGGGGAGAGAAGGAGATGACCCTATTTTCAGGAAGAAACAAAGAGAGTGGTCGCTACCCGGCGAAGGCAAGCCCCGTCACGCGAATAGTGGGGTAAAGGAAAGGACAAGGGCAAGGAAGGACGAGCAGCGACACAAGTTCGAACAGGCGGTGGTCTGACCCCGGAATCTTTCGCAACGAGAACTAAGAAGGACAAGAGAGGCAAGGGCGCGAGAGACTCAAGGTGGTAAGAGGAGAGGGGGACAGAATCAGGAAGGGAGGAGAGGACAAAAAGCAAGGAGGGGCAGGGAGGGCGGAAGGGCCAAGACAAACAAGAAACCGATACCCGCAGGGGAGAAGGGAGCGCATCATCCAAGCCCACAATCATTATCCCTATACGGACGGAAGGGAGAACACACGACCTCATTCAGGAAATACGGGTAAGTTTTTCACCAAACAGTTCAATCGAGTGCTTTGAGATCGTAAGAGACAAGGACTCACGTGACAGGTCAAGAAGGGGACCGAAGATTGTTCAAGGAAAGAGCCTACCATCCAAGCAGCCATCGGCTTCCAACGAAGGCAAAGAGACAAACGAAAGGGCAGCGACGAGCAAACATTAACACTTGTCGGATTAACGCGACTTCCTTCCAATATTTATTTGTGATTATTATTCCTATTATTACATATTCTTTTTACTTTTCTTTCCAATTCATTATTCGTCTAATTATTGCCACTCAAATGCTTTTTAGTTGTATTCATTAATTTAATTATTACATATTCTTTTTAAGATTCATTCCAATTCATTTTTCGACTCACTTTTGTTATTCAAATTCTTTTTAGTAGCGCGCGCGCGCACTCACACCGGGAATCGATAACACTATTTCGAAGTGCTTTCGCAAGCACACGAGCCAATTTGCCAGTACGTTTTCCTTTACTACTTATTCAGCTCATTATTGGAGCCAAACTTTCGGGCATCGCACTCCTCGGCAAATATACTATAAATTCGCCAACTTTGCAACTTTTAACCGACTTCCCCGCGTTAATTAATAAATCAGTCATTGTTTCAAACCT